TTTGACTTTGGAAAGAGAGCCATCCGGACGAACAGACGAGCGCGGATAAGCAGGAGGCTTCGAGTACCTAGGGCATACGAACTAGGTGGTGCACTGAGAAAGCTGGGTCCTCCTTTGTAGACTGTCGGCAGCCTCGGTAGCGACTCGAGGTCATAAAATTAAACTCGGAGCCGCCGCCATCGAATTTTGGAGACGACTGCAGGTCGAGATTCCTTGGCTAGTGAGCTAATGGACACAAGTTACAACGGCGGCCAGCAACGACAACGTTTTTCTTGCTCATGCCATGTCTCATACTTCCTTTTCCGTCGGCAGGATGGGGCTTCGAGAAGTGGCTGCAGAGCGTGTAGACAGATGGCTGGTTGCGTATCCAGGAATGAGGTTCGGACATCTGATGACTTTTGGTCAGCGGAAGCCGGATGACTGCCACTCCCGAGTATTGCAGATGATGAAATGTTTCGAGGGTAACTGTCTCATCGCAACTTTGTGTTTTCCCGAAGCAAAGCTTGGTCCTTGATTCGGTCAACCTGCCAGATCCACGCCAATATGAGCCTACCAAGAGCAGAGGAGACTTGGTTGGTAGCAAACCCGCCGTAGATTTGTCCGAGACCGATCCAAGTCCGGGAGACAAAGCAACGATGGAGGTTCGAAATGACGGGCACTCGCATTCTACCGAGGAGTGCGTGACCAAAACGAATGGACCTGATCAGACTCAAGCTCGATCGCATCCATGGTGGCATGGCATGTCGTCTGGGACGTTGGATCGATAGCACTTCCAGTCACCCCGGCTCGAAGGAGACACAAAGGACGGCTCCCTGTAGGCCGTGGCCGGGATCGTGTCGGGTTCACGGCGGGTGGTTGACAGGGCAGAGCAGATGTCTGTCCCGTGCATGTACGAATATGTACTCCGTACGTACGACATCTGACTACTTTTATTCCTGAAGGCTCTAGAGCGTCGTCCAAGAATGCCCAGACCGAAAAATACGTCGTCCGGCAGATAGGCGATGGAGACGAGACGAGACTCGGACGAGGCATTCGTAGACTTGCTTGATTCTCCTCAATGTCTTGTTAACAGCGTCTGTCTGGGATGCGTTCGACGTTCGACTCTCTCTCTCTCTCTCTCTTTCTCTTTTCTGGTTGCAAGGAAGAAAACAGGAGACTACCGTTTGACGCAGGTGTGGATATGGGACACGGTTCCATCGGCAGCCACATGTTGCGTCTTCAAGACTAAGACGATGTATGAGGAGATGCTGGCAGTCTGGCAGAGCCTGTGGGAGGCGAATCGTATGCCGATTCGCTGAATTGAAGATTTGAGGTTGCCAATTGCGATGTGGGAGGGGGCGTGAATGGAGGCGAGGGGCAAGAGCCTGGAAGGGGAAGTTGACCGGTGTGGAAGGCAGGCTGGAGGCTCCCGAGGAGAGGGTGGACCTGGAGGCTGGCACCTGACGAAAGTACCTATGTATGTACCTTAGTTTGGTAACGTTGGTATCATGAGCATGGGCTGCCGCTGCAAGGTACCTTGCTTGGACCTCCATTGCTCTTCGTAGGTATGCCCCGGCCGCTTATAGGACAATTCCATCCCGCAATCACGCAAAACAGAATTGACCAGGACAAGAGCAAAGCGGGATACTTGGGAGAAGCTCTCCCGAATCTTTATTTCAACTCATATCGCCGCTGTCAAGACGGATACCTATGTCGCCATCTATCGGTACTTTTGTTCCGATCACGACTTTGGCCCATAATTCCCAAGGACGAATACTTGAAAAGAGCCGCCGGACAGGATATACCTGGTGCTCCGGCCTTGATAATACCTTGGCATAAGAGATTAAACACGAATGAGAGGAAGATGCAAGAGCATGTCCGAGATGGGGCGTTAGCGTGACGCTACTCTCGTAGCCCCAGAAGGTCTCCCCAAACACTGAAGACAGACTGTCCTGGAAGCTTGAATAGTGGTTCCTTCAGGCACCAAGATTCTACTTGTCACTTTGTCTGTACTTTACTACTGCTGCCACCTGTGGCTGATATCTGGCGAAGACGTGTGTGAAAAGGTGAATGAAGGTGTGTCTTTCGGGTTGAGGAGGTACTTTATCCGTACTGTTGATGCTTTTGCAACCATGCCATGGCTACCTGCCTTAAGTTGGGTAAGGTGCCTTCCCTTATTGACATCCGTAGTTCATCAACTGAAGTGGCGTGCTTTCTGAAGAAGCAGGAAGGAACGACACACGGAAAATGTGAGAGGGGACAAAGGGACGTCCCGTCGGCCTGTCCCTTAGCAAGTTCGTGTCCTTCTTTCCCCCTCCACTTCCCGAATAAGGTACCCATCGGAAGGTCTGACAGTGACGCGGTTTCTCTGGCTGAGTGAAGACTTATGGCACTCTGCCTTGAGAGTCGAGACTGAAGAGTCAAATGGAACTTGGAAGGCCGCTGATGAGGGTCTTCAACCTGGAACGGGCCAACTCACACCTCTCCACCTACCTGCAGGGTTGCGGACTTGTTGTGAATGTCAATCCCTTTTCCACAGCTTCTATTTTCCGCACACGTACCCAGTTGCCTCGTATCGACAACTCGCAGCTCCAGCCCATTCGTTGAATTCTCTGACCGTACCAGAAAGAAAAAAGGGAAAAAAAAAAAACCTGCAAGCTGGCAGCTAAAAGAGATTTACGCCGTCTCTTAAGGATAGTCCTCCATCAAATATAGTATACTAGCACGGCTAGGAAGCTGCGCTGTCTCCATAAAATTTCAAAATTCCATCTTGAAATCCTGCCAGGGCGATTTTGGTACATGGGAGAACCCACAAAATGATGTAAGTAACAAGCAAAGCCACCCCCCGATGATGGCCTTATCGAAGTTGATGTACGAATAAGAAATAAAAGCACCTTAGCATATCGTGCACAGTAGGAATTTTTGGCGTAACCTGCCACGGACAGATACATTTTACGGTTCTACCTACCTTTGCCTACGTCGACGACGTCTTGTAATTCCCACTTCCAAGTATCCATCCGTACGCGCATAGCCGTCGAGGCAGTAGGACAACCATCACGTCCGTTCCCGCTCTGCAACTGTCCGTCGCGCTTTGGCCTGTAGGCCGCTGCCCAGGCCGGAGTAGCCTAATTGCAACTTAGCCAATCCCGTTCGTCAATAATTCAATCTCAACATGGCACGGCCGAGATTCGATCGAGACAGGTCGACCCAATCCGAGCCGATGACAGCGAACTAACTGGTCATTGCCCCGATCCGATTCCATGAGCTTTCGATAATGCGGCACCACGATGCAAGAAAAAGGGAGAACACTCCAAAGAAAATGGATTACACTCACACTGGCACACCCTCGTCAATAGTCGGCGGATTAAAGCTCCGTCACTTGCTGCGCATCCTGCGTTGCTACCAATACATGCCAGGGCGAGGCTCAAAGGGGGAATGTTCATGTCGCCTTGAACACCCGTGTTGGTTTGGTCCGTCTTGGTCTCGTCGGCTGCCTTGCCGCCCCAGACTTGACCCCTGTTTAGGAAGGTTTGTTCCCCTGCGGAAATGGACGGTCAAACGGCGTCTTGCTGCTCTCCGCCGTTGAGGGGCCGGGCCTCTAGTGTACTTTCGCGTCCGAGTATGGCGCATGCGGGCGCTTCTGGTTGGCAGGGGTCGGAGATCACAGATCTGACGATGGCCGCTCGTGGGTGCATGAGCAAGCCGCAATGCATTTTTATTGCCTTGAGCTCATGCCTCATGTGGGAATTCGGTTTACGGATAGGCCATTCACCATGGTTAGACTAAAGGTCCGTCGGTAAGAGAAAATTCATAACAAGCTCATACAGTCAGGCTAGGGAGAATTAGTGAGCCAAGGCCATTTCGAAGCAGCAACCTGTGCTGTCAATCTCTCGCGTTAGACGTCGTGTCTGATGGGGACACCACAGATACAATAACTTCTGTCTCCTGCCGTTAAGACCGGCCATGTCCGTTGTCGGAGAATTGCTCGTCATCAAATGGAGCGGTGAAAACCGAACGTGGTTTCTTATCACGAAATGGGTAACATCACGAGATACGAGCTCTTGGGCCCCGTCTCACTATTGCTTGTTGCCCAAGTAATACTATGTGAGTGGAAACATTGAAATCCTCCCAAGCAATCCACCAGCCAGGGCTCTTGGGCGCGGCCTCGGGCTAGATTCGACTACTAAGCTCTGTGCTTGGCTGTAGGTTAGCCCGACATTGAAATTTCTTGTTTCTTTTCATATTCTAGCCACATTATTCCTTTCACCCAGACTCATGAAGCCTCCTACCGTATGTTCAAACCATCAAATTGCCCTCACCCTGGACGATGGCCAAAATCTTGAAGGATGCTACCCAGCTTAGTAGCTCTCATTTTCTACAATGCTTCACTTGCAACTCATAGTCGACATCGAATCTTGGTGTACCTCAATGTTCTTGGCGCGTTTTTTTCCCGATGAGTTGAGTGAACCTGCAGTGCTCACATGTAAACCTGAGTGAGTGAAAACTCAAGCAAGAGCGACCGGTAGCACCGAACATTCAGTCTCCCAGGCCGTCTTCAAACCACAATTTGGTTGGTTCCCGCCCCGAGTGACTGCCCGGCCAATGACAAGCTACCCCGCCCTTTCTCAGATGCGCTCACAGAATTTTTTTTTAAACTTCTGGCGCATGGCACAACCTCATGACTTTGAAGTGAATACTTTGTGTAACGAGACGCCAGAAACCCCCCCCATGACAAGCATTTGAATCCCGAGGAAACATCCACAAGATTCAAGAGGTCGGGAAAAGCATGACCCCCCGGACTCTGTGAAATTAGCTTCAAAATTGCTGCCTTTTCGTTTCACCCACACTTGGACATCCAAATTGGTCACAGAAACGGCGAGACCCGTCTCAACCAGAATATCTCGAGAGTTACCCCTCCAAGGAAAGAAGACTCAAACTCACTTCTACTCGCTCCTGAATCAAGGCAACTCACTCGAACCCAGTATCTCACACTCAGATTCACCAACATCACACATCTAACCATGTCGTCATCATCATCCACCGAAACCTGCCGCCTCGTGGTCCTCTGCTCCGGCTCCGGCACGAACCTGCAAGCCATCATCAACGCAGTCGCCGACGGCACCGTACCGCAAAGCAAGATTGAAAAGGTCATCGTGAACCGCAAGACCGCCTACGCCGTCCAGCGCGCGGAGAAGGCGGGCATCCCGACGCGGTACTTCAACCTCGTCTCGGGCGGCTTCACGGCCAAGGGCGAAAAGGACGAGGCGAAGCTGCGCGAGGGCCGCGGCCGGTACGACGCGGCGCTGGCCGAGCTCGTGCTGCAGGACAAGCCGGACCTCGTCGTCCTCGCCGGGTGGATGCACGTGTTTAGCGCGCCGTTTTTGCGGCCGTTGGAGGCTGCCGGGGTTCCGGTCATTAATCTTCACCCGGCGCTGCCTGGTAGGTTTTCTGAACTCCCTGTGATGCTCTAGAAGCAGAAGGGGGGAAAGGGGGAAATTTTGTGATGTGTGCAAGATTATGTGACTAACACTACTCGTCAGGCCGTTATGATGGTGCCAATGCGATTGGAAGGGCATACGAAGATTTCCAGGCCGGCAAGCTTGAGAACAACCGGACCGGAGCAATGATTCACTATGTCATTGAGACGGTGGACCGTGGAGAGCCTGTTCGTCTACTCCCGGAGGTGTTCCCCCTTCCCCAGCCGCACGTTATGCTGACGAACGGCCGTGATAGATCCTCATTGAGGAGGTTGAGATTCGCTCGGGTGACAGTCTGGCAGATGTGGAAGAGCGTATGCACAGCGTCGAACACGGTCTCATTGTCAAGGCCACCGCAAAGGTCGTGCAGGAGATTTTGGAAAGGAAGAAGCAATAGATCGAAACATTGGCAGTAATGGGGCAAAAACGTTGGGAAGCTTTCGTGACACAAGACTTCAACATCGTCACACGTCATCAATCAGACTCACCGCTAGGTGTTGTATGGGCCTAGATTCAGTTTCTGGCTCCAGCTCCTTTGGTCTCTTCCAGATGCAGTGCCCAGCTTATATGGCCAGTTATGTTGGCTTCACGCAAAATCCGGAGTCAAAGGCTGGGCGAGCGTTCATTGGCCCTCAAAGAGTCATCAAATTATGGACAGGCGCAGTTGCCCATCTAAAACGGCGAAGAGCCGGGCAAGCCATGTCTGCATGGGAAGGGAGAGTTTGCCAACCCAATGGATGACCCATGAGGGCGACATTTTGAGGAAACATAGCCCAAGTAGAATCACCTGAGGAGCTAGAACAGGAGCCAATCCAGCGGCTCTTCTCTACTCAGCTCGGTTCTATCGGGGGAACACTCAATGAAACAAATCTCTGAGCCAATGGACCACAGATCTCGGGATGCGGCCGCCAAGCGACATCCCTAGTCATGATCTCTGGTGGTCTTTTGTCGGTTACTGATGATCTGAAGGCAGTAGGAAGACCTCAGGGAGAAGAAGAAGAAGAAGAAGAAGAAGAAGAAGAAGAAGAAGAAGAAGAAGAAGAAGAAGAAGAAGAAGAAGAAGAAGAGCTTCTGGCAACCGTTATTGAGTTCCAAAGAACGGAAGACGTGAATAACATCGTCCATCATAAGAATGGAGCTTAAGCCCCGAATCGGCTCGAGTTCGGCCTGGTGCCCATGTCCGGGCAGCAATCAAAGCCGAAGCCAGCAAAACGGGGGCGCATCCGTGCCAGTCTCCGAATCGTGTATTTTTATTCTTTCTTTGGAGTGTGGAAAGGATAAGCTGTCGTGATTATGAAAGGGGAGCCGGAGCCGGGGCCGAAGCGGAGGGCCCCTCATCAGTTGAATCAGGTGATGGCGGCCAGGTACAAAAAAAAAAAAAGGTTCGCCAAAAGTTGCTGCGAATGGGAAGAAGATGCGGCTCTGCTGAGACGTTCTGCAGGTCCACGGCCCGGGGAGGGGGAGGGGAGGGGAGGGGAACCCCTAACCAACTTCCTTATTGAGGAGCCAATGACGAGTGCAGGGCTGAAGGAATTGGGTAAACGTGGGAGTTGAGCCAGGGTTTCTTGAGTCTTTTTGGCGTTGAATGACAAGAGTATATCGTCCTCTCTGTCTTGCTGTCACTATTTGGTTGCAAGTATGTATACAGATAATGTCTAGGGACTATTCGCAAGTCCTGGGTTACCATCGAACATGCCGTAATGCCAAGCCACGGCGCTATGCAAGCATTGTCACTAGAAACCCCGTCGTCTCTTATGCCGGAGTTGAGACGGGAGACAACTTGATTGTCCGTTTTTGCCGATGTGCTGCGCCTCGGAAGGAGTCTCGAAAGATGAGTTCCTAACCTAGGAAAGGGGAAGGGATAAGCAGGGTCGAGTTGGGAACAAACAGTTACCGTTTGATCTGAATCTTGGCGGTGGCTCGACTAGAGCTTCCTTTTGGTAAGTGATAGGAATGGTTCAGACAATTGGGGGCCCTGGAGGCTGGGGGTACCTCAGATAGTTTGAACTTAGTCAGTTGGTGCTCGGCTAAACCAACTCTGGAAAAAGGCAAGACCATACGGAGTATGTATGGGGGGAACGCGGGCCGGGGGGGTTGAAATGGATTATGAACTCGGAAGTGGCGGTAAAAGGGCAGGTTGAGTCGGGGGGGAAGGGCACTAATTTGCCATGTTGGGGCCCTTGGGGGCTGTACTCAACTTTTTTCACTCAGGACTAGCCGAATCAATCTAACGAGATGAGAAAGTATTGGCGCGACTGTGAGCTCTCCACAAGGTACTTATGTGTGTGTATGTGTACGGAGTATGTGCGAGTGCTCTGGTTGAGTTCAGAGCTCAGAGAGAAGATGAAGAAGAAGGGCTGGCGAAGTTATGCAATGAAGTCATGAACCCGGCAGCTGAAAGGTCAAACCTAGTTTCGAGTGTCCCCCCCAAGGTAAGAGAGGCTTGATGTTGCACCAAGTGCCAGAAACCCCAAGAGTCCGTGGGTTGCTGAGGACCTTCAAGAGATGGTGGCCTAACTATGGTCCATGGAGGGAGGGACCATTCAGAATGGCAGAACGAGACACGGGAGACAATGCTGAAGGGCCGACACCGGCTCAAAAGGCAACTTGGCGCGAGAACGTCCCCGTTTTCCAGCTGAAAGCTCCAATCTTTTTCTACAATTGCCTCGCCCCAACTGAGAGTGTCGCGACCTGGTTGGCTGGGGGCGTTCTTGGAAATGGAAATGGGCAAACCTCTTTTTTTTGTTCTGGCTGAGGCCAGGGCCGGGGGGGTTCGTTCTTCGGGTGGACGGGAAGGGCAACTCGAAACTACCTTAGGTACCTAGTGTTTGTATCTGTACGTATCTGTGCTCGTACTGAGTGTAAGTTAGGTACTAAGGTACGGATAGATAGGCCAAGGTACCTTACCTTGCCTGTCTGCCTTGCCTCGATGATGACAAGGGAGCTCCCTCGTTGCCCATCTGATCAGCGAAATAGGTACTCTGTAGACAACGAGAAAGAGCGAGAGAAGGGGAGAGAGAGAGAGAGAAGGACCAACGTGCCTGGAAAAGCGCCCAGAGGAGCTACAGCAGAATCCATGGCGTTGCGCAGGTTCAAACGCCAGTAGCCACTCCTCCGATACAACATTGGTCGGGTCTGCCAACGCCCGTACCGTGAAGCTCCCCAAGCGTCTCTTGGTTTTGTCGAATCGTAGCCCCAGGAAGCTCTACGCGAGTGTGAGCTCTCTCGAAAAGGTCCCCTCCCCATCCAAACCAAGCCCCCAGACCCCAACCCACTGTCTCGCCGCGTCTTGCCTTGCCTTGCCTTGCCCTGCACGGTAAGTACCTTACCTTGCCGGCTGCTCGTCTCCTCAGACCCTCCGGGTCCATACTGCATACTCCGTCACTGGGGGGCCGCCTTTTTTTACACGTCCACGCGCGCCGGGACCTGCCAATTCACAGCTTGGAGCTGCCTGCTGCACGCCGACCACGAGATTATCAATCTCATCTATTATCTTGGCCTTCTCCCTCGCATCGCGCCGGCTACTCTTCCCTTTTTCTCTTCTCTCTCTCTCTTCCTCCTTTACTTCAATCTCACTTCACCTACCTACCCTTCCGTCTAGCTCCACTCCATTCTCTCTGTTCCTCTTCCCTGGTCGTCTCCCTCCCTAATTCGACCTCTGCCGTCATTGCCTCTCTTTCTTTTCCTCCGGCCACGATGAGCTCGCCGCAGGATCATCGCTCGAGCAGCCCTCGAGTAGGCTCATTCAAACGTCCCTCAGTACTCAATGCCGATAGCGATCCATCACTTTTGGCCACCAGAGGCAGCGGCGCCTTAGTATCGCTTATCCGGAACCGCTCCAATGCCACTCTGCGAGAGTCGCTCAAGAGCCCGGCCTACCACCAGCTGGGTCACGACGAAGAGGAACATGAGAGCACCTCTCTGCTTGGCTTCCTGCACAGGGACTCGGACGATGACCACCACCACCGCTCCGCCGCCGAGGAGCGCCGTCTAAGCGAACTCATTTTCGGCCCTCAGATGAGGAGCATGCGCCTTATCGGCAACAGCAACCCGCGCTATCAATGGGAGCGCTACTGGAAGACGGAGGCCGAGCTTGAGGTTATGCCAAAGCATATGTGAGTTCCTGCTGTGCAATCGTGCCGCCCCGGATTGCCCAGGCGCAATTCGGGGTTCACAGTCTAATCCCCTACTCCGTCGACTGCTCTCCGTGTATCAGTTTGCGAGTTGAGTTGCGAGTTGCTAATGTGCATTGTCAATTCCTAAAGCCGCGAATATTACGAGAGAAACAACGATTTGATTCGCATGTACCTCTACATCGACCAGCTCTTGGATTCATCCGTGCCCCACGATCTGCTCAACGAGTATCACCAAGCTCTAGACGCATCGGCCTACCGCCCAGTCGATGTCCCCCAGACCATTACCGAGGAGTCGCCAACTCCCACCTCACCACCGTCCAGAAGCGGACTCACCTACGGCAGCACTGCTGCTTCAGCCCAAAACAGCAGCACGGAGCAGAGTAGTTCGGCAAACAGCATACAGCAAAAGGCGAAACGCAAACCCAAGGACATTTTTCGGTCCACCGAGGCGACCCCACTTCTCAGTGGTTCTGATGAGGAGGAAGGTTTAGCCGATCAGCCCAAGCCCGAGATCCCATGGCTCGAGGACTCCGACCTCGACAGCAGCGACCCCATCGTCACTTTAGCCATTTGGGTCAATTTTATCGCAAACGCAGCTTTGCTGATCGGAAAGATTCTTGTCGTCGTTTCGGTACCTTCAGTCTCAGTCCTAGCCAGTTTGGTCGACGCGGTTCTCGACTTTCTCAGCACCGCAATTGTGTGGACGACAACTAGGCTCATTGCCGCCAGCCAAAATGACCAGCATTCTTATCCTGTGGGCAGACAGCGGTAAGTATCAATTTTACCCCCTTACTTTTTTTTTTCGTTCGCGATGCTGCCTCCGCGTTGCATTCCGAGCCGCGTGCTGACTCGCTACAGTCTCGAGCCTCTTGGCGTGCTGGTTTTCTCCATCGTAATGGTTACATCCTTCTGCCAGGTCGCTCTGGAAGCTATCCAGCGTCTCATGTCGCCCGACCACGAAATCGTTCAGCTGTACGTCTCAGTCGCTCCGCAATTTTCGCAGACTCGCAATGCTAACCTCGCGGGAACTACAGCGGCATTCCGGCCATCTCCATTATGGTTGGTACCGTGGTGATCAAGGGCTTGTGCTGGCTCTGGTGTCGTCTCATCAAGAATTCGAGCGTTCGGGCGTTGTAAGTTGATCTGGCACCCTGCTCCTCTTTCGTCGTAACCTCAGCGTTTGCGTCGCAACGGGTTTACGTAGCCGCCTCCTGATCGGCGCCTATCATGGAACATGGGGAACTTTCATAACTTACTCTTTGGTTTTCTCCATTCTGCAGGGCCGACGACGCCATGACCGATGTCATTTTCAACACTGGCTCCATTCTGTTCCCCATTGTTGGCTACTTTGCCAAAATTTGGTGGCTCGATGCCCTCGGTGGTCTTCTGCTGTCTCTCGTCGTCATCGTCAACTGGAGCGGAACCTCGATGCATCATGTCCGAAACCTGACGGGCTTTTCGGCGACTTCGGATGAGAGAAACCTCCGTGCGTAACTTCTTTTCTTCCTCTCTTGTCCCCTTCTTTTGCCATCTAACTTACCGTTTCGTCTCCCCCACATTTTCTATACTTAGACCCTGTTATAACACCCCCTTGTCATGCCTTTATTTCCTCTTTGCCTCTTTCCCTTCATTCAAACCTTAAACACGTACTACAAGCTGTAGAGCCAGTTGACCAGTTGATGCATCAAACATTCAGTGAAATCGTCCATGAACTAACATGATTACTTCGACAGTCCTTTACCTTACCATGCGCTTCGCCACGTCCATCAAACAGATCCAGAATCTGCGGGCTTACCACGCGGGCGACAAGCTCTTCGTTGAGGTCGACATTGTTCTCAATGCCAACATGCCTCTGAAGGATAGCCACGATCTCAGTGAAGTTCTGACGTATTTCCTCGAGTCGGTGCCCATCGTCGACCGCGCTTTTGTGCATGTAGACTACGCAACGTACAACGTTGACACGCACATCACTTAA